ATAAGCACAAAAAGCTGAATATAATATGATTTTCTTGTATTGTTATTTTGACATCTTATTTATGATGTTTGTAAAGCACAGTAGCTCTTTTATAAGCATGTACTGATATTTGATTATTTGAAAATAAAATTAATCTGATCCAAGATGAATTTAGCTTGTATGAAACTTAAATAAATTAATTACCTGAATTTTCTATGTAAGAAATCAACACACTTAATGTATGATACAAGGGTTTGATACCCTAAACTTTGAAAAATATTTGCTGAATTTAAATCATCAATGTGATCATGATGAATGATGTTGAATGATCAATATTAAAAAATACTCAAATTACATAATATTTGTTATATGATTGAATTATTGATAAGTCACATTCCTTAACCAACTTTCATAGACTTAATTTCATTATATTCACTATTTTTTATGCAATATACATATAATTTTGTATCAATCAATTTTCGTACAACGTCTTGCATTACTTATTCCAACTTCTAGTTTATAAAATTTTAATCACATTCCAATATGCAATTAAATCATAATTAAATTCAAGTGATTTGAATGTAAAATAGTTAAAATAAATTTTGAAGATTAAATGTATATATTTAATAATTTAAAAAACTTGCATCCATATGAGATCATATGTTCGTATCTTTAAATTAATAAATAAAATATTAAACATAATATATTTTTAAAAAATATATTATTGTGAATGATAATATTTTTTTTTCTAAATAATTCAAGAAATCTCCTACATACAAATATCACTCAAAACATACTTTGAGTATAGCATTTATTTTTTATATATTAGCAAATGAACATTTTTAGTATAATCTTTGAAACTTATTATAATATTTCAAAATATAGCTGAAGAATATCAAACATTCATATCATTTACAAATAAAAGAATAGATTGTGTCCATGATAGAGTAAATTGATATTATAAAAAAATGCATGTATAAATTTTACAACAAATCAACAGCAAAACATCAATAAATATTTTTGTTAATTACTTTTTTTTTTAATAATTTAAATAACAATTTTTAATAAATTTATTGCAAAAATAACTAATATTATTAAAAAAATAATTTAAGCATCAAAAATATATACCAGTTAATTTTTTAGTACATTTGATGAAATCAACTGTATGTTGATGAATTAAACATCATATAAATATATTGATCATATTCATATGATATGGATATTATAGACTATAATTTGTTGAATATATAGAGTATACAACGATGAAACCTCAATGAAACAACACACAATAGCAAACCTCATGATGTATAGATTTTTACTTCACGCTTTCTTTACACAAGTATGAAGAAACAGATTAGCAATGTACTTGTGAAGATTCCACGAAGCTTAGAGTTTTATACTCTCATTTCATCCGACTCGTGAATTAGGAAAGAACTCTTGCATCCACTACCTTTGGATTGTCATGGGCATCATGCTTATGGCTTTTAGACAGTTTGCGCTCGTTCTCACTCTTGTAAACGAATTGACATGAATAGAGTTAAATTTATAGTACTGTAATATGAATGGGGGTCAATAAATCATTTGTACCACAAAGTGCACGTGAGCTATTGCTATGGGTACTCGTCTGCTTCAACTCAGCGGATAGATTTTTTACTTGCTACATCCAACCACACAAAACACTACAAGCTTTGTAACCTTGCCCACGATTTGTCCAATTCAATTCATATTCGAACATCCGTTGGACTAAAACAAAATTTTGGAAGGTGTATTATAACAAAAATACATATCATTCAGTTGCACCAATCTCAAGTACCAAACTTGTCTGAAGCCGAACCAATGTGACAAATTATTCTTGGAAAATTATTGCGGATATACTCCGCTTGACAATTTATTCCAAAATTTGAGCCAAAATCTAATTTTGAAGTTAGACTTGAATTCTTCACCCAATGAATTGAATCAATCTCCAAAATATCTCTCAATTCTTTAAATCCATTGCACATTACATCCATTGTGCAAAACAATTGGAAAAAAATTATTGATCAAAATAAAAAATTAATTGACAAATTTGTAAATTATATAAAAAATGAAACATTTTTTTTTCAGTCTATATATTGATTAAATATCAAAAATTTGATATAAAATTTAAATTCTTGTCTTTTCATAAATATTAAGAATCAAAATTTATAAAGCAAATAGCAAAATTGTAGATTGTACTCATTCAACATTGTTTAGGTTTCATTAAAACAATCTGGTTTATGTGTACTTAGACTAACAATGTCAAATCACATATTATGTCATAGACATATTGTGTTTTCTTTTGATTTTAATAATATTTTTTGTCATATTTGTTAATTTTTTATTTTCTGGTTCTTGAAAATTTTAACCTCAAATTAAATTTTATTAATTGATATTTTCTAATTAATTAATTTAATATTGAATTTCATTTTTTAAATATAATTCTAAATAAATTTTTTTTTTCATTATTGATAAAAAAAATTTTCAAAATATTAATTGAATAGTATAAATCTTAAATTTATACTATATCAAATTTATTTATAATGCGCAATTTTTTTCAATTATCAATTACATGTATAAAAAGTAATGATACATTTTTTTATTTTAGACGTTAATCATTTCAATCAAAATTTATAATTATTGATCTAATTTTTCTTCCAAAAAAATTGGAAAAAAAATTGCTGATATGTACATTTAATTTGAAATCTTTTTTCATAAATCATTGATTTTGAAAATTGTAGAAATATGAATAAAAAATTTATAAAGTAGATATCAGTATTTGAAAATTTAAAATACTAATTAGTTTCTTAATAATTTATGTTCTAATTTATCATAGATTGAGTGTTCATTTATATTAATATGAAATTTTTTTGTCATAATCAGGTTTAGGAATTGTTTTGGTAATAATGTGTAATGATGAATTATTTCTTATTTTTAAATTTTATTGATCGTCATCACTTTCAGATTTATGCATTTCTTCATAATTTACTATTTAAACTTTGCTATCGTATTTTTATTTTTGAGGCTATATATATATATATTGTATTTCTATGATCAAATTTTTTTTTTACAGAAATATATTGGATTTAAAAGCTTTAGAATTACAAATGTCATATTGATGATTTTTTATTGTTAAATATGAATTTGATATATGAAGATTTTTAGAAAAATAAATATTTGTAAATTAATTATTATATCTTAAAATTAATTTAAATATTGAACTGAAATTGTAATCATTTTTTATTTAAAAAAGATAATAACACTATTTAATTTACAATTGCTAATAAAAAATTGACATATTAAGATTTTCAATATAATTTTAGGTTTTAATCAATACTCACAATTTATGAAATTTTTTGTAGACTTTTATATATTTATTGGATAATTATTTGATATGACAGATTTTTGATGTAATAAAGAAATATTTATTCATTATTTTAATTTTAATTTATCTTACAGTAACAAAGTTGAATTTTTTGTTTCAAAATTTTGTAATTTTTTCTTTTTCTCTCAATATGAAAATTATCATGAAATGAGTTTTTTTAACGTATTTTTATGGATAGACATCTATCTGACATCTTAATATAATGTTTTTCAAAAAATATATATTTGAGATAATATAAAGGTTTGTAGCTTCAAGTAAATACTTGGGGAAACAAAAAATTTCACGCAACAAAATTATATTTTTATCCCACACTGCAAAATTAAGTGTGGGATTTGCATTCAAAATTTTATAATATGATTCTTCTTTTGTTAATTTTTTGTATACATTTTTTTTATTTTTATGATTTTGAATATGCCACAAATGAAACTATTACAAAGATTTTATTAAAAAATATATTTCTTAATTCATTGTATTCTTTTATACAATTTTATATTATCAATATTTTTTTAAAAATGTATATAAATTTAATAAAATACTGTTTAAAATTAATTTGAAATAAATTCTCTAAATTTTAACCAGATATATTGGTTACAATTTGTTGAATGAAGAACAAATGTCCTGTATTGATAAATCTAAATTATTTTTATATAAAATAATTTTATAACGGAATTTTTTTCCATAAATAAAATTGATATGTTTTTCATAAAATGCATAAATTTTTCAACTGACTTTTTTTGAAAATAAATTCAGAATTGCAATTTCAAAATTATTGATTATCAATAAGCTTTCAAAAAAAATACTATTTTGATTTCAAAATGTTTACATACATAAAATATATTATGGAGATGATTGATTAGCACTGAATAAATACGATACATATCAGTATGCATAAACTGACATATAGGGCAAAATTATAAGAAAGCAAAAATATCAGAATTGATGATGTTGTATGACATGCATTTTATTCTGATAATTGTGTCATGCGTAGAATTGTACTTATCGAGACAACTCTACTACAAGATCTTAACTATAAGACTTCCGGCCTATATTGATTGAGATATATCTCACGTAAACTCAAGATAGAATATTTGTGATTTTTACCTGGTCTAAAATTTAAATGGATTGACTTACTTTTTCTTATATCTGGGTGTTTAATCTACACTTACAGATTTGAGATTGGTGTGAAAAAAAGAATATATTTTGCAAGGATTGTGTGTGATTTGAAGAATGTTAGGATTAGATAAACGCCATCAATTTCCCTGTTTGCCCTATAAAAGAGTGCAATCTTCATAGTTTTGAGTTGGGTTGTAAGACGAGAATAGTTAGGTGGTTTTTTCCCATAGAAGTTGGAGCAGGGATGCAACATATTGGAACATGTTTGGGGAAAACACCGGGCTGTTATAGTAGATCGCATACAAATCGTAATGAGTATCTTATTCCACTTCATCATCCGATAAAAGAGATTCCACGTCACGTAAACTTGTGCGGCAAAAAAACGGGAATACACCACAAAACCAGAAACCCGGTGGCGGCCGGAACGGACGCCGACCGAGAAGCGCAGGAATACGTCCGACAGGTGTGAGTTGGAGCAAGACTGGGCTAAAGGTCGAGCGTGCGGAGGGCAAGCGGAGGGCAGCTCCTCCGGATGCAGGAAAGGGCGATTTCTATTTGCTGCTGCTGCTGCTGCTTGTGCGCTGTGAACTGGAGGAGCTAGCAGGGCGCTTGAGGGCCAAGGTCCACATCATTTTCAATCTTGGAATTGGCTCTGCTGGACCCATTGGGCAAGGGAGACGAGCACACTCGGTCATAATAAATTTGCAACTTGCAATATCTAGAGGAGTGTGCACGGTGTGCCATCTTTCCTCCTCTCTCTGCTCACTCAGTTCTCCTTCCCTGCTTCGTTCGTTCGTCCTTTTCTGTTTCATGTGAGTATTGCTCTCCGTCGTGCGGTGGTGGATTCTTCGGGGTTGTGTGCTAGGTTAGTGTTCAAAGGTCGATCCGTATGGATCTGCTGTGATTTCCTCTCCTTTCGGGCTCCCTCCATCCTTTGTTAGTCGTGCTAGTTGTGGATCTGAAAACTGTGTCTGATTTATATGTTTCAGAGGCAGCCGACAATGGCGATGGCGCAATTGAGATCGATGTTGCTCTTGTGCGCGTCGCTCGCTTCTCTTCTGATCGGATCCTCCGCGTCGTTGTCTCTGGTGCCTGCCTTCGTCTGGTCGAATACCAGGTTTGTTTGATGAAACCACTCCCGCATTGTTCATTGTTCTGATCCGTTTTATGATCGTGTGCCGCCCTTTCACCTTCTCCTGCCACTTAAATCTGCTGATCAGACAAATATGTGCTTGCTCCTTGCTGAGAAGAATTTCTCTCCGTAAATTTATTGGTAGATGCTCAGCAGTGTGTTGATGTTAATAAAACGTACGGATGAATTGCTTAAGTCATTGTTGTCCCCCTTACATTCGTCTATTAATGTCCCTGTGCTCGCCTCTTGTTGCAGAAACGTTGATGATCGATCAATCACATATCAAACATTCTCATCCGAAAGTGTGGTCGAACAAATTATGAGTGAATTTAGTTCCCCACTGCTGCAGGTAAAACTCTTCAAAAAAATTTAGTGATTCTTTGTTGAGACATACCATCCGTATTTTGGGTATCGGGTTGGGATTCTCCGCTTAGGCAGTTCCACTGAACAAGATCAATTATGGGGCGCTCATCCTTCTCCTTCACTTCATCAGGAAATTGCTTAGGGTTTCGATTGTGGTATCTTAGTTCAGCTCGATTGTGTAACAGGTAATTCATCATGTGGTTGAATAATTTTCTCTTCCTTGTTTGAGTGGTTGTAAATGTCATGGTTTTCTTGCTTCGAGAGATCATCATGTGTTTGAATAATCTATGTTTCTTCTCCTTGTTTGAGTAGTTGTAGCTGTCATGGTTTTCTTGCTTCGAGAGACCTTCTATTTATTTTCTTTCTTTCTTTGTCCGTTATTACTTATATTGTATCAGGTTCACATTCCGATTCTGTCCGGAATGGAGACGCTTAAGAGGCCAACACTTTGTCTGCGAGGGTCTTACAATCTTCTAATATGCATCACAATATTTGATGAATTTAGGAACTTCTTTATACATCAGTCGCCCCCAGTAGACTGATGTATGTTCTAATGGATAATGACCTCATGCAGCCGGTGCATGCATTGCCAAAATAACTCTCGGAACTACTGTTCCAGACATATTTGGAGAACTTCATCTACCCCCATTTTGAAGACTGTGCCTTTCTCCAACTGATATGGAGCCTCCTTAAAAACAAATATTGTCCTTTATTTCACTAACAACCCGGTTGTGGCAACTTCCCAAGATACTTGTATAAGTCAGTACATACTGCGTATATATATGTCAGTCAACTGAGACATCAGTTTAACGATGTGTATTTTTGGCCGCGCAGGAGCAAGCCCCTCCCGTCGATTTTGTTTTGGCTTTCATTGGAAACAAGGTACCTCTGCGCTTTGGTTTGACCATTTGTTTCACATGAAGTATTTAGCTTGATAACCTCGGAGCTCTGGATGAATCAAGCACTTCGAGTATCTGCTGTTGGCGATATCTCATTGTTACCTCCTTCGGATTTAGAGTCATATACCAGCTAGGGCTAATTCTTTGTTACTTGTCAGCTACGGTCAGTGGAGGTATCTCGTGCTGTCTCCAGCCCATCCGACTTGGTTCCGGTGATTCAGGTAAGGTTCTTTGTCTTCTTAAGTTCTTGTCATTGGAAGTATATCTGTTCAATACATCTGTAGGAAGATTTGCAGATACATTCTATAACCTTGAGTTTAGATCAAAACATATTGAGTGTTTTTCGATTGGCTGGTCTGCCAGGGCGCAGTCGCAAATTCAAAATCGTCATTCGCAATTCCATATGTGACACCACTGAAGAGGGAGAATACTTTCGCAAAGCTCTTGGACTTGGCCTCAGCAGATCTGATGAGTGCAGATAAAGAGTCAAACCTGGGAGATGTTGTTGTTGCTGGTTCATGTGCTAGTGAAACCACTGGAGCCAAGAAGTACGAAAGCTTGGAGGAGCTCGAGGTAAGATATCTTTGAAGTGGTCCCGTTGTCACAAGATGTGAATCCCATGTGTGCAAGGCCGACTACAGTTTTTGGGCTCAATTTGATGTACACGCAGTCAGAGTTCTCTTATAATATGAATTAACCAACCCTTTGTCTAACATCAGGCGTATTTGACATCGAAGAAAGAACAAGGAAGTGCTGGCAAGGCCGATCTTATAATCGTTTGCAGCCAAGTTCAGTCATCTTTCGAGTCAAAGCAGCCCTTGTCTGAAGGTAAGAACGTGCAATTTACAAGTTTGTGGTTTCGTTACAAAGTAGATTTTTTTTCGTCACAAGAATCTAGTTGTTAGGACATTTTATAATAAACTAGATGTGCAATGGCAACCACTGCTGCTCAATTTGTTTTAAATATCAGCTGACAACAGGCGGGGTGTTTACTTCTTTTAGGCGAGGTTATGGGAGCAATTTTGAAGACTCTGGAAGATGCGAAAGCCAAGTATGTTGCATCGTACGTGACTGACCTTGTTGAAGAAAACGTATTAGCTCTATCAAAGAGACGTCAGCTTGGTACAAAATTGCGTGTTTCCAACGAAACCTTCTGTGATGGACTTTGCCAAACGAAGGCAACAATGTTGGAGGGCCTCTTTGTGGTAAGTTCTGCGGACATTCTCATAATTGTGTAGATGAATAAAGTAATAAGTCTCGAAGACCACAGGAACTCAGTTTGATCTCGGATCTTGTGTAGATGTTTCGTTTCCTGCGGCTATTTGTGATATTGTATTAGGGTAATCATGATTTTCAGTTTGTAATGTTCAATCATACAAAAGATGTTATAGGGTAGGAACCATGTCATTCAGTCCACGAGGAAGGCGAGTTTGAGGCTTCCCTGGTGGAAACCTGTGAGTTCATGTCCGGAGACCGAGATGTCTGTATTTGTACTTGCATAGCATTTACTTTCCGTACTAACGGGAGTCTTAAGCAGCAGATGCTCATTGAAAACTTGACATTTGTTGTGCAGGCTATCACTCTCTTAATCATTCTTATCTCTGGTATCTGCTGCATGGCGGGTATCACAACTCCAAACCGGTTTGAGACAGCCAAAGATTCATAGGATATGCATACAAGTGTATATGAAAGATATGGCGACCATCATAGCTCGAGGTAAACATCACGTAGATGTTGGGGCAGTTGGTTAGAAGTCCATCCATCCGGAGGTATGGGATACAAAAAACAGGAGCTTATGGACATTCGATCTTGATGATGGTGAAGTGTGAACATGATTATCTTGGTTATTTAGTGTAAATTGTATGTCGCAAATGGGCCACCAGCTACGGGATTTCTCTTGAAGAACGGGAGCCCCTTTTTTTGTAGATGGTAGCTTAAATTCTACCATCGTATGTAGTTCGTGTTATTTGCATGTAACGGACGAGATCACTCTTTTTGAAGATCCTGGGATGACTCTTCACAACGACCTAATAAAGTTGACACGAAATAGTGCTCACATATGATTGGAGCAAATTCTTGAACGTCGTCATGTGTCTTGGTTTTGTAACGCAAACAAGGAATGAGAAATGCGAGCTCTGAATTCAGGAACTGCACTTCCATATCGAACTTTTTAAGAGCAAGGGGTTCCACCAAAAACCGTATTATCATAAGTTGTAACTTCAAAATCTCAGGATGGGAAGTAGACTGAGCGAAAATAGTTAAAACCGCAGGGTAGAAGTTGGGAGCAGAGGGACAGGAAGGACCGACGAGAGCGGAGGCTGTGATGTGAGTTCGTTGATGATCTCTCACCCAAATTTGAGGAATTCAGTAACTGGAAAACTTACAGATTTTCTCCCGGAAATATGTGGAGAATCTAAATAGTTTATGGAAATTTAGCCCAGGAGTTTGTTTGTTGCATTGACACGGAACTGGACAAAAGAATGAGGTTGATTTATACTTTACAAAGATTACTACAAAACACTTCAATACTCGTTGAGAAGCAAACGCAAAGAAAATGTATTTCAATGTATGATTGAGGGAGATAAAAACATAGTGTCATATTGTGTTGTTTAATAACGAAATAGTCTAACGAAAATCAGGAAATTCGAACGCAAATTTTGTTAGTAAATTTAACGTTGAATCAGTAGACATTTACATTTCGATATCAATTAATGAAATGATAGAAAGTGATATTAAATCAATATACAATAAGACATAAAATTGGAATGCTATTCACTAAATTGTTCATATTAGATATAGGTGTTATTTCCATTGATGTATCAAAGAAGTTTTGATAAGTTTTTCTATCAAGACATATCTTTTATTATATATATTAAAGATTTGTGAAATTTTGAAAAAAAATCTTATATAAGGACGTCATAAAAGTTACAATGTGCTGTAAATAATTTGAACTTTTGCATTGATTTTTTCATAAAATCTGAAAAAATTTATATATCAGAATTAAAAAAATAAATTTCCACTGTATATTTATCGTGTGCAATACGAATCTTGATTATGAGTTTGAAATGTTTCAAACAGATCAAGAAAGCCAGCTTTATTTCTCTTGACATATGTATATGATAATTTTATTCAAACATTTTAAATTTTTAAATTTTTTTAATGTGTGAAACGATTATTTTTAACCTCTCACATTTGCATAAAAGTTGGTTATTAAGATGTCTCAATAACTTGAAAGAGTCAATGACACAAGTTTATTTTTTCTTTCTAACTCAAAGGGTTTAGGTTTTTTGGAACTTGCACGAACCATTTATCCACAGTGCTTTCCTTTTGGGTTTGGTATATATATAAGAAATGGTTATATAAACGGGTGTCCATTTCAAATGACAAAATTGAAATGTAGAAGACGTCATTACGATCTAATATTTGTCTCCGAGTTTGGTACTCCGAGAAGTACTTTATAATATGGTTGTGTGGTTGCGGTTGCATTTACATGGAAGAATTGCGAGTGTAGAGATTATTATAAAGTTACATAATGAATTATTATTTTTTTGAAATTTGCTTTTCAAGTTATTAAGTCAAGTTTCTTAAAATTGGCAAATAATCATGAAAAAATGTGTGAATATTATAATCTTTAGTTTTATATCAGAAGTGCCGTGGTATAGATTCTACACGTCAGTTGCAACAAGACATTCTGATGCTGTTGCGACTAGAGCCATTTTAACATGACACGAAGACGGCATCAGGTCGTACTGGTTATGCTAGTTTGTACGACTGCGTACGAAGCAAACGAGACAAGTCCTGTGTAGTCTTGACGTGAAAGTCCTTCCAAACGGCTAGTCATCGCTGTATTAGAAGAGCCCCGACACCCACAGTTGCCGGAGACCTTTCTGGATCTGGCTGGCACTTTGGATAATTCTCAGAACAAAATCACTGGCATTGCAGATTAGATCTGATTCGATCTGGAGAGAGAGACGGGTCCCCGAGGCGGAGGCCAAATATCGCTTCTGTCCGTACACTATTTAGAAGCTAGAGACGTGCACTTCCATTGCTCGGTCAACGAAGCAAAAGCAGAAACTGAGAACTTTTTTGGAGCAGGGATGGGATTTTCGGTGGCGGGAGAAGAGTCGTCCCGGGTCAACCCCATAGAGATTCGCCCCTCGATCGCTTCGGACTGAGCGAGTGGCTGTATGTGATTAGATCAACTCGTTCTGCAGGTGGCGACCGAGAGCTCGACAGGAGGGTCTAAAATATTGCAGATGGTCTGTCCACTGATGCCGATGCTCATGGTTCAGATTGACCGTGGGGAGAATTGCACAGGTACACGATGGCTGTAGATGATGATCAGAACTTGCAGGAAACTGATCTCGATTTCGATTGCGGGTGACTCAGTAGAAGCAATGAGAAAATGGCCCAGAGACTTCAAGTTTGTGGAGCTGAGGTGGGATAGAGAGTGCAGATGGTGTTTGCTGTAGCAAATTGAGCTCAATTGGAGTTGAGCGTTGGTCTTTCCATTGCAGGGGTGACAAGGTGAAATCAGTGGTATTGAAGTCTCTTCCTCGAAGGTTATGTTGACTGGAGACTGTGAGCTTTCGAATTCGGGGATAGCTCTACTCTCGTTGCTGCCATGACTGTGTCCTGGCAATGACCCATGGTGTTGAGGGGCGAGCTTTTGCAGTGATGGCGAGAGTTATTGATGGTGGGACTTCTCCAGAAAGTGAGCGAGCATTTTCAGACTTTGAAACTGAATCCGGAGATTCCCCTCACCCGTGCAGCGGAAGATCCAGATGTATTTGCCGAGAATTTAATGATCCCAAGTTTTTGGACAGACTCCATGAGCACGCTCATGTTTCCTTTCGATGGTAAAGTCACTCATTCAATTTCCGACCTCAGTAGTCAAGTTTCCCAATTGTACATAAGCTGGAAGGAGAATCTGAACTGAATTTTTGTCCGAATGACTTGTTGCTGTGTGTAGGCGTACGTTCTGGAAAGAGCTTCTTTACCACACTTTCTTTCCGTTGACATTACCACTAGTTTATCTCTGGGAAGGTGGACAGCGAGGAATTAAAAATCGTCAATTTTTGGGAGGCAGTCTCATCCTCACACTTTCGCAATGGTTTTTGGCTGCTGCGTGTAAGACCTCCCCACGTTGATGCCTATCCGTGGTGTAGACCTCTTGCTAGAGCAGACCAGAGGTCCTGGAAGTCAGTATGTCTTGGCCGTTGGACTGCAGACAAAAGCATATCACAGTATTCCAGTTGAAGATTGAGGCATATGTTAGTTAATCTCACCCGGTTCTGGCTGTGTTGGTGGCTGCAGTTTTCTCATTGAATGGCCTGAGCTGGTTGTATGTCAGCCCGGATATTTTTATCGCAGATTTTCTGTGGATCGTGCGTTGTTTGGTACGTCCAAATTTCTGAACGTACTGAACGTTTTCTCCAGCACAGATGCGTCATGACATTAGGAAGGTCTAGTTTAATGAAAGGAGCGTGGAAGGTTTCGCTTAAAGAGTGTATAAAGCTTCATAAGAGCAAACTTATTTCACTTACCAGCCACTATATACTCGGTTTCGGATCTAACAGATTCTTGCAACCAAATACGGATTTACCAGCGATCACGAGATGGAAATCATGAGAAAAGAAGTGATTCCTTTGGAAGCCCAGAAGGACCGAACGGTACGTGAATATTCTATTAGCCTCATCCAATTTGGCCCTCTTGATAGTTTTAACATTTTAAGTGTGATAATATGAATTGACATTTGTGCCCTGGTGCGTGGTGGGCTGGCTGGCTACGAAGCTTATGTTAGGATGGACAAATGTCATCCCGTTACGAGTCTTGAAACGGCAGCTTCTTCTGGCCGCTGTTCGGAAGAATGCTCTGCGATGCAATGCGTCACTGCGTTTGATTCCAGGAGCGTCGGACAAGACTGTACATGAGATTATGCAACAACTTACAGAAGCTCCGAAGGTGACTGCCATAGCTTGATTCTACCGCACCTGGATACTCAGCTGGTCTCCTCAGCTTAGCACGTAACTTGGATGATTTAGTGGGTTAATGATAAAAGCATTCTTATCGATGCGGGTTCCTTAAACTTTTTTGTGTCTTGGTGTGCTTTACAGCATTGAGAATCAGCTACAAGGAATTTATTTCAGGGGCTAGAACCCTTAACCTTAAGTAACCTTAAGTATGGACCTTAAACTCTGAATAGCTCCACCAGCAGGCAAAGTTAGTCCTATGAGGGAGAGGGAAGCTTGAGCTCAACGTGAAATGACTGAAGGGCAGGTCTAATTTGTGATCGTTAGTTTCTTGTTTTTTTTTCTTTTGTCTTACCAAGTGTTGGTTTGTTATGTTCCCTTTATAGAACCTATATAAAGGAGTTGTGCATTAAAACTCTTCACAGACCTTTTGAGCCAGTCAGACTTTACAGATTTTGTAAGAATGTTCATCAACCACTGGCCTCTTGATCAACACTTCTAACTCTGAGTCATCACGTTCGAGCTCGGTTTCGAGAATCTCTAACAGAAAACAAAGCTTCAGTTTATTCACTTTCGTTGACTATCGCGTGATTTCAGCTCGATTGAATGACACCGGTTTTGGGTTTCGTTCTAAATTAGACCCGTTTGTGTTGGATCCTTTGATGCAGATCAACGATCATAAAGAACTAAAAATAGCACCATCCTGGGATTCTCTAGACAGAGCGATCGGATTTGATGAAACCACTCACCTTTGTGCAACATGTTTAAAGGAGACGGGCTCTAACAAGAGCTTTGAGACGAGATGGCTTGAAATATGCATGAGAGACATGCTGAACAATCCAGAGCTTATTGTACCCACAGAAGCATTGCTTGCTGAAAAAGAAGTCGCTTCTGAGAGTGTGGATGATCGTGAGCACGAGAAAGCCTGTCCAGCCCTCGACCTCCCGGCTCTCTTGCTAGCAGCATACATTCTTCAAAGGGCAAGCGAACTCCTACCGTGAGATTCTAATTTCTCCCAGTTCTTTCTTTTGAGTTAGTATTTAACATTGTGCTGCACTCTTCATCATACAGCTCAAGATTCCGAGTTCGGCGTTGGTGCATGTATTGGTTTTGAGCAGGATGGAGTTTACAAGAAACAGTCAAACCTGTCTGTGTCTTTTATATTTGTAGAGTAGTAAGTAGTTTGCTTCATTTGTGATCAGATCTATGGCCCTTGGGTTAAGAAGTTACAGTACTTGTTAAGCTTTGCTCGCGCTGACAATCGCTTCGTGATTGACTAAGAGAAATCATGAAATGCATATGTTTATCTTCTACTCCCAAACAGTAAGCACTCTGTAAATTTCAAGCTCACCAGTCGACAATCGCTGCTCTATTAAATCCCGGGCTGCTGTTTTGCAGGAAAAAGCAGTTTTTGCACCAGCTTTTTGTGAATCCTTGGAGGCTCTATTACTTGTCTGTATTGTTTGGGATCATACATGCCATAATACCATTTGCAACTCGTGCTTTAGTTGGTACCAAACTCTATCCTTGTATACCACAAAGCCGTTCACCTGCACTGTAAGCTCTCTGTTGATGTGTGATCTTCTTTATGAATCCGTTTAAACTGCACTAGTCCTAGTCTTCAATTAGATTCAAACATGACTAGCTTTTGTATCCAGGTCGTCGAGTCGCATATACACAGCTTCCTTTCGGGCATGAAATGATGTTATAGCTTCCATCTTCCTGCTTTAGAACGATCTTCAGATTCGGCAATTTCATTTATGACGAGAGACTGTTTTCCGAGCCTGTTGCATATCAGTCTCCATGTGGTCTTGATATCGACAGGCCAACCATCAACATTTGGAGGGACCCAATGGTACAACTTTGTTGTGTCAGCAAGCAGTTTCGCAATCAACGTCTCATCGATGTGAGTGATCCTGACAGAAGACTATATCTGAATACGTCGATGAATGCAAAAATATGCGTGAGAAGGTAGAGTACACAGGAATTATCATCGATGATAATATCAGAAAGATGTGAGGGAGTAGGATACACTGGAATGGTAAATGGTGATAATTTCTGCTGCTTCTGATGCCAGTGGATGTATAGCAAAGGATGTGAACTGACAGGGGCTTGAACAGGTCGTGGAGTGTCAACTTCATGCTGGGAGGATTGGCTGACTTCCGAAGGCGCTATTTTGTAGCCCGGCTGCTCAATACATTGTTGAAGGATGGTTTCTCTTCTGACGAGTCTGTTGTAAGCCGCAAGCTCCGAGACACAAAAAGGTCTATCAAGAGAAATTCTCCTTATCACTTGGGCCTTGCCATTAATTTTTCGGATCCAAGATCTGTAATCGGCTGGTGGGCTGTCAGAACTCTTGTTCAAGACTTCGGCCTCGTATTTTACATGAGAGTGAAAGTGAGCATGCAGACACCAACCTTTCCTGCGTGGACATTATTCACTTCTTCCTGTGGTTCCTTCCCAGTTGTCATTTTTGGTTCCTGAGAACCTTTCAATCCATTTAGCTTGACATCCTTATGCTCATGAATGACGATGATGCAGTATTACGCCACCTACTTCGCTTTGTATTGTGGGCTGCTCATGGGCTACTTGGTGGTGAAGCTCTTCGCGTCAAATGCAATATCTACTAGCTACATCCTGTAAGTTGCTCGTATCTCATCGAGGATCCATCCACTTGCTCAATGTAGATTAGCTTGTGTCGTTTTTGAAGCTAGATTACTTGTAGCAATATTGTCTTCTGTCTGATCTGCTCTTGACGATGCCAGGGCGGTGGTGGTATTTGATCTGCTCGTATTTATTGGGCTACTCTGTTTGGTGGTGTCACCTGGCGGAGGCACGAACAACCTGAATGTGGAGCATGGAGCTACACTGTATCGCATCAAGGTGTAATATTTTGCCTTACCGTTGTGTATACATGTAAGCGATGCAATTAGAGCACCTGAACTACAAGCCTTTGCTGATTTCCCTACAAGGAAGTGTCGAATAGTAGTTGATACAGGCATTGTCATCGCCCCACACCGGAGGATTCACAAAGGCAATTCCTCCTTCTCGATGCTTGCGCAGATGTCCATCAGCACCAGACTGAACCGAGGCGGAGATGACCTCAAGTTTGAAGAGCGTAGGTCGATGGAACTGGCAATGGAAGTGCTGCAATCTATCACTCAAGCAGTATACTGGGATAATTTGGTCAATCAGGTACACCCCTCCACCCCTGCCGCAAAGTTTGAGCAGTGAATGAAAAGTTCGAATCGGTCCCTGCTGCTGCTGGAGCTAGTCTAAGGCCAAAAGTCTCGTATATGCAGATTACATTTCTTGGGTTCACGGCCGGAGCGGAGATACTTGGGGTTTTGATCGGTGCAGGAGGTACTGCCGTAGGTATTGCAGCTCAACAGCTGACGGCCACCATCAGTTAGCTGGCCATAAGCTTCGACGTCAATTTTGGACTCTATTCTTTGTTATTCGAGGGAACTGAATCCTCCAGCACTGAAGGGTGTAAGAGTTACTGTTAGTTGATAACGGGTTCTATCATTTAGGACATGCTGCCCCTTATTCCACAGAGAAGGCACCACATACGAAAAGTGTATAGTTGATTAAACGATCAATGAAGATCGCCAAGAATATAATCCAAGGGCCTTCATGGTCACTATTTGGTTCTCTCTTTGTCTCCCTCGCTCGAAGACCTGATTTCATCCAGCGTAGTCATCGTCGTAACAAATCCACATGATATATTCATCCTAACTGGCGGATCGGGAAAGCCGCCGTTAAATCAATTCACCACTTTGTTTTGACGAGACATGATGGCAGAAACATGTATATTACCGAAATCCTAGTAGTTGTTCAAAAAGTTATTTTATCTCAGAAATCAAATTCATCGAATTACATAGCACATTCTTCCCTCAATATAAACCCTTGTCCTCATAACTGCAGATTTAAGTCAATTAGAATGTGTTAGAAGAAGTCTTTTGTGACTGCATATCTTTTCCTCTAAACTGCAAAGCCGGTTGATGTCATGTAATTATAAAATGTAAAGAGGTTTTGCATTTTCTTTCCTATACTTCTCCCCAAGTTTGGGTTTTCGAAGTCATTTCACTTATCTAACAGAAGCTCATTGTTAAAGCAGAACAATTTCTCGTAAAAACTACGTGTCAACATGTTACGGTGTTTTAAATATGTTCACAAACTTTTCTGCACTACAATCAATCAACCTCGAAGAATTTCTATGTTGTGATATCAAAAACCATTGCCAATGCATCAGAGTTACTACGTGAAGTCTAGCGGTTTGTGTTTGATGTGCAGATGTCTCAAAAAATCATTAGACACGAAGGCATATAATGTACTGGGTGGAATGACATACATAAGAATCCATTTCATTGGGCTTTTGATAGAATCCAGGGAGTGAAATCTTTCCGGTTTGGTAGCTTCAGATGATATCACGAATCACGATGCTTGTCTTGTTTCCCGTATGTTTTGTTTCTTGTTGATGGAGCATGTCAAATATATATGTTCACTAGTCATACATGTGTCAAGATTTTTGCTTAGGATTAACTTTAGTTTATGGTCTCATAGGGACATATCCTTCACTAGAAGAGTTTTCTCATGAATATGAGCACCACGTGAGATGTGTCCTTGGTCCACAATGAACACAAGTGAAACCAGAGTTGTAGGATTGAGACCTTTCAAAGGATTGAGTATTGACATTCGACGACGGTGATTGAGAATTGTTGAAAATGTAAGTGTTCAGATTTGCAACGAACCGCGAGCCAACTGCACATGTTTTACATCGAACACGCTCGCACTCGTCCTTGTATGTAGTTCTAGTCCACAAAGGATGATAGAAGAGAGGGGTCGACAATCCCTACTCTCACATTCGTCATTAGTTTGTATCGCATTATACAAAGAACGAATTTTCGGGTAAGAGGGAAGCAGATAAAATTTATGCACGGTTGATCTGGGTTACATGTTAACCGTGTGCCTCTCGTGTAAACCTGACTTTCTTTTTCGATCAACAATCAACAATATGTGAAATGTAATAATAAATTAAGAATTACTACGTTTTAAAATACAATTGTATCTCTCTTAGAAGAGGGTATATTTTAGCATTTAGCGTGAGGTGTTTTTTCACTCGAATAATTCATCCAGCTTCAAACCGTTAGTGTGATCAATTTGTTTCTTGAGCTCAAACGGTGTATGAATGTATAATTATACACCGTAATGATACAAACATTATTTTTCTCGAGTTTTTAGAAACTAATTTGGATTTTTTTTAAAGCGATTTATTGCAAACCTTCATGACATTCAATCACTTTGGTAAAAAAAACAGACTCAAGGTCTAATTAATTTTTTCTAATGATAAAATCATCACATGTATGTTTTAAAAGTTGATTATCGAGATATATTTCCTCATGTTAACTGTAACTGGACGTGAAGCGCAGCATAGTCCCTTCGGGGACATCAGTCAGTGTTTAGTCATTTTGATAGATGCATTAAAACTGAATTTGTTCATTTTATCTCAGTGCAAAAATTCTAAAAAATGATCATATGTGTTATTGTCAAAAATTATGAAAGAGTTTGGTAATAATATTTATAATAATTTTTTTTTATTTATTTTCTTAATATTGAATTTAAGATATTTTTCAAATAATAAAAATATTTATATTTTTTGGAGGTTTTATTTAGATATTTATTTATATGATTTGAATTCATATGTTGTTATTTGATTACCTATAAGAGCAAAATCGATCATCATTTGAATTCATACATTAAAATCGTTGATATCAAATGCACTCATTTAATACGGACAAAGCAAAAAAAAATAAAATCACGCTACATCAAAATACAGAAATTATCACACAGTTTTGATTTTAACTTTCTGATTTACACGGTTTATTTGATGTATGAGGTAGAAATTAAAGCTAAATAGAAGAAGCTTCTTCTTTGCTAAAGTTATCAAACAATACTATTCATTCAACTCAATTTTTATACTTTGCTTCATCATAACGAACACATATTGATGATATTATATAATGAATGTCAAATATTCTGCAAATCACAAGTTAATACAATAATCAAACATCATAATGATTAAAATGTTTTGATAGATTGTAAATTATAGTAAATCAAAACGTATTCATCTATGATCAATTTAAACATAATGTTTTGCACTTTTCTTTGCTTAGCTTTTGTATGAATGATGATTTTGAAAAATAATAATATTTCTGTTGCTATACCTAAATTTTTTTGTCAATCATTTTTTTACAATCATCATATCAAACACATAGTTTGATTTAGAAAAACTTCAAATTTATCTGATATTACAATCCATATTTTTTGATGAGTCAATTATGAATAATTTGACCATTTATTTTATGAAAATGTTTGAAGGAGAAAAAATTTATTTAAATTTTTTAATATTTTATTATATTATATGATGAAATGTTTGATTACTTAGTTAAAAATATAAATCAAAATAAAATAATTATTATAATATTATATAATAATTAAATAAATAAATTTTTTCTGTTAATTATATAGAAGAATTTGTAAAAAATTATTTCTCAAAATTAAATTTGAAATAATAGTCTTCTCAAAATCTTGGAAAAAAATTTATTAGCCAATTATTTATAAATATTTACGTTTATCGAAATAGAATATTTTGATTTTTAATCTAACCAGATAATGTTAGTTGAAAACATGATTATGATACTTCAAGTGATAATCATTTGATAAAGTAAGATAAACATGAGTAATCTCCGAGTAGTTTTTTGTCATAAGAAATTTAGTACTGAAATTGAAAAAGATATTTGATCACAATGTCGTATACCACAGAAAAAAAAATCTGGTAAAGTCAAACGAATATATGAAATTATTGCCGCCAATTTAGACATGTTCGCGAAGCTATTATGCGAAGTATTTCTCTCACCCTAAAAGAAATTAATTAACCGACCTATGGATAGAAGTCTGATCACTGTAGATGTTGCATAGTCTGAATAGGTTGATTCTAGATACATTGCTATTACGAATTTTTATAGCACATATATCTCATGATTATGTAGTGGAGTAATTGCTGGTATAATCTGGTATATGTCAACTTTTCTATGCATTTGCAACATTTGACATGCATTCATCAGTGTACAATACAATGCGAAAATCTATCTTGTTTTTGAAGAGGATACGGTACAGCAGAAGAAAATGGACCATGATTAATCTGGAGAGCATGGATCAGTGGAGGATCATGGGACGTGAACATGGAGCAATGACGTGTTGGCGAAGTCGGACAACGGGTTGCGAGTTCATCTTCCGACACGTGTCCCCGCATCGGCTGACCCGTGTCGAATTTGAACTGAGATGGTGCGCGCTCGATTCGCTCGCCCTAAGAAGGCGGACCTTCGACGCCGGGGCACGCAAGCCATCGAGCGAGGCAGCCTTCTTTTCTGCCCGACACGCTCCTGAGCCGCTGCGTTAATTCGCAGGCACTCCGTTCGAATTTTCGAACGTTCTACGGCTGGCCGCGGGCGCCTTCGAACTCGACGACGAGGGTGGGAGGCAGACCGATCGTCGTCAGCTGCCCGAGAACGAGCGACAGGGTTCTGTTTTCTGCTCTCTCCGTGGCCTCTGCGCGCGCGAGAGTGGCGAATTGCTCGTCGAGAGGGTTTGGCGTGGGCGCGCTGGGGGATCGATTCGGTCGATTCGTGATCGACAGATTCGGTTGTTTGGGTGCAGGAGACAGACATGGGCACCGCGCACAGTCGGGAGGGCGAGTTGGAGGATTCCGAGTCCGAGGATGAGTCCGTGGCCTCGGAAGCCAGTGGCTACCATTCCGCTGATGGTGAGAAGGAAGAGCCCCGGAGGCCCGTGCGGAAAAGTCCTGGAGCCGCGGGGACTTCGAAGGGCAAAGCTGATGTTTTGAGTTACAAACTTGGTAATTTGTCACTGAGCCCGGGTGTTCCTCCGACGCATAAGCGAGCGAAATTGTATCTGCATACCGGTGGCAACACTGCCAAATCACGGTGGACGGTGTATGGGAAAGAAGTATCGTACGAGTTTGTGAAAGAGCAAGAGGATGAAGATGATGAGGATGATGACCGTGAGTGGATTTCTCAACGCACGGGGAAAGCTACTTGGGTCGACTGGTATCTCAGAGTCGCTGACAGGGTTTCCGCAAAGATTGACGACGCGCTTCAGATGCAGTTTTTCGACGACCAATTGCGGGTTGACTTTGTGTCACGAGGTGTGTGGGCTATGAAGTTTGCTAATAAAACGGACTACGAGGAGTTTGTACACGAGTTCCAAAACAGTAAATTTGAGAACAATTACCAGATGAAAGCCACGGAAGAAAACAAAACCAAGGTGTTTGGAAAAGACTTCATGACCTGGGCAACTGGTGAAGACGCCGACGAATCAGTTTGGGAGGATGCCGAAGACAGTCTTGAAGAGCAAAAGGTTGCAAGCAGGAAGTTGAAAGAAACCTACAATGAGGCCTTAGAAGGTGGTGCCAAGAGTTTGACGATGGGTGCCGGTGAGCATAGTTTTCTGATTGGTAACTCGGGTATTGACGTTTTTCGAAACATGGCAACCGGAGTACATGGTAAGGGTGTCTCGATACGGTTGCAAGGTGGTACTCCTGGAGATCCATTCTCGACACCCAAAAAGGGCATGCTGATTAGAGGCGAAAGTAATATGATGCTGTTGAGTCCCGCGAAGGATGCTAAACAGCATCCTACAGGTGTGAGTCAGCTAGACCTGGCCACAGGTAAAGTCGTCTCTGAATGGAAGTTTGAAAAAGATGGTGCTCCTATTAGCATGAGAGACCTGACGAATGACAGCAAAGGGTCTCAATTGGATATGAATAATACTTTCTTGGGACTCGACGATAATCGCTTGTGTAGATGGGACATGCGAGTGCAAACAGGTATTGTGCAGCAGCTCTCCAGTCCTATACTTAGCTGGAATGAGGGTCATCAGTTTGCCAGAGGCACAAACTTTCAATGTTTCGCATCTACCGGGGATGGCGCCGTTGTGGTTGGATCGAGGGACGGCAAAGTTCGCCTGTATGGAACTACCTCTATGCGAATGGCAAAGACTGCCTTTCCTGGTTTGGGCTCACCGATTACGCATGTGGACGTTACTTATGATGGGAAGTGGATTTTGGCTACAACTGATACTTACATGATTCTCATTAGCACTCTTTTTAAGGACAAGGATGGAAAGACCAAAACAGGATTTACTGGGCGGATGGGAAGTCGTATAGCAGCCCCTCGCCTCCTGAAGCTGAACCCTGTTGATGCGCACGCCGCTGGGGTACACAAATTCATCGGAGGCCAATTTTCATGGGTTCGTATTGTCTATGTCCCAATTTTTATTCTGCCATTGTACCATTTCCACTTGCTAGCAGCATAAGCCTGGTTAATTGTGTACGCCCGCCTTCCGCGTATCTCGCCAATTTGTCATTCTCTTTCACATTTATGTGTTTGAGTATCTCTAATCGTGATTTCCAACACAGGTCCACATATGGCCACATTGAACCTTTTTGTCCTGCCGGTTTGACCCCAGAGGCATGCATTAGTAGCCGCATGATTTTCGAAGCGCGCATGCTAGGTTTGTGTGCAGACAGAACAATTTGAGGATAAAATAATTGAGATTTTTCGTTGCTAATAACTCCTATCTGTTTCGTCTTATTCAGGTCACAGAGTCTGGGAAACAGGAACGTCATTTGGTGGTGTCTGTCGGGAATTTCTCAGTAGTATGGGACTTCATGCGGGTGAAGCAGAGTGACCACGAATGCTACAGGCACGAAAGGGGTCTGAAAAGTTGCTACTGTTACGAAGTGGTTCCTAAGGATGAATCGATCGTCGAAAGTAGATTTATGAATGATACATTCCATTCTATTGCTTCTCCTGAAGCACCACTTGTAGTAGCTACACCGAAGAAGGTCACTTCTTACAACATATAGTCCCTCAGGTTAGGTTACGTCTTGTAACTTCAAGGTTACAATTTAGATATTTGCAGAGGTTTTACAACTTTAGGTTCCAAGCCCTTCTTTGTCAATCAAGATAGTTAGGTTCACAGGAACTTCATAGCACATTCAAACGTTGTTGCAGGCGTGTACAATTATATGTTCGTCCTCGTTAGGCTTCGGTCCTGGTTTCTTCCTGTTGACAACTTCATCACAGATATAACTGCGACTTAAAGAGTGTTTGTGGCAAAGTTCGCTTTAACTTTAACCTTACTTATTTGTTGGTGGATAATTCTTTCGGTCCGGTTCTCAGTCAGCCATTACGAACAGAAACCTTGGCTAGCCCTTCAGATCCAGTATCCAGGACACGACAGTTACAACCTTATTTTCATTTCCGGGTACTTTCGAATTGGGAAGATAAGGGCTACTGAATCCAGCGAAAATTAAACCATCTCCGGAGTCGATTTTTGAGATCAATGTAAGATACGTAACTGGATTTGGAAATGTGCTCCCAGCCTGTGGAGAAAACAGGGCTTCAGACAGTCTCATCTTGAAGCCGTTGGTAGTGTTTTGAAGCACCCGAGATGCTTTCAAGGATGGCACACATGGTTAGCATTGCTCTGGAGCCGCTGGTAAGCAACTAACTCATGTATTTCAGTCTTGCGCGCATCGTGAAGCTGACTTGTTATTAAGTTATAAGCTAGTTCAACCCATTGTCATGTGTCAAAAGTAATGTGGATTGCCTTGCTCGGGCGCTGCAGAGTTTAGCTTCTGTCAACAAGCTTCTTCTGTGGCGTAGATACAAGTCTTACAGAAATTGCACTTTCGGCCGATTTCTGTTAGCTGTGAAAACTTTTTCCAGTTACAGAACCTCGACCTGCAGGAGCAGTTTTAGATACCACCTTCCAAGAATCTTTGATGGCGGCAAAGAGTCTGTCAACTTGTTTATTGTTTGTACCGTGAATGTTACGTGATTACTTGGCTCTCCATGGCCTTTTCAAGTGTCCAGTTCTTTTATGAACTTGGTTTTACATAAGCAAGGCCCGCATAAGTCGAGAGACTTGTGAAGCCGTGGTGTATGGCCCTTAAGCTTGTTGTGAAATGCTTGAAGGGAAGTTGGACATGTAGTGGTTACGATGTCCTCCTTTACTGAGCCAGTGGATCCGCTGTCAGGGTTTGGAGTCTCTCAGAGCCGGCCAACTTGGGGCCTTAACACCCAAAGGGACCACCGTTTCTGAAAATCAATGGTGTTCTACCACCTGCAAAGTGAGTCACCAACAATTCCTAGTTTCCGGTTGAAATGGTTTAACGACCTTGAAGCGGTAGATTGACTTTCAAAATATTATGTATTTTTACTTACGTATGGCTTGACAGATTTGCCTCTTGCCGACACCCAAAGCTTGTGTGTTCTCATTGAGGAGAGTGCACTGACGCACATGCAACGCAGCCGACATGAGGCTTGCTTATGGTTTACATCTTCTACATCAACCCATGGATTGTATCATACAAATTAAGGAACTTTACAATTGAAATTCACGACTTAGTGATAAAGGACCGAATTTTAAAGCCCTCCGGCTTTGAGTAATTAGAAATTCTTCAAAGGACATGATGTGTATATTACAGTCTCTTGCACTCATTGTCGAGAACTCAAACCTCAACCTATTTGAGACAGGTGGTACATCATAGCATTTAATCAGTACGTAGATATGGTAAAACGTTTCTCGCATTCAGTGAGTCGGGCTCGTTTTACATCAAAACTGTTAACTCTTTAATTCATTTCGATAATGTTATTACCCAGGTTATGTTTGATGAGTAATTTAATCAAGTAAATTTAAAACCTTAGCAAATTTTACTGTGTCATTACTCCACGAAAGATATGTACTTTATGAATCAACATGTTATTGAGCTATTTGATTCAATTTTGTACAAGCTACTGACCAATTATTCATAGAATGGCTACTGTTAATTGATGATCTAAACAATTGTGAGGAACGACGTGTAAAACAAGTCGAAAAATGGCCACATGTGCAACAAGTGTATTGCTACATTGACAGAAGTTCAGGATGTTATGGAGTTGCACAGGAACTTGTGTGGTTAGTACCCTTGTACCCAGTTAGTACCCTCGCACAGTTCTATTAATAGATTCTATCTATGATTGTGACAAGACATGACCTGAAAACATCTCAAGCTGCTGGACCTGCTGATCTGACGCTTGACGTAAATTAACACCCATGGCGTTTTCTCACCAAGAGGAGGCCAAGCCGAATGCAAAACAAATCGTGCAGCAAGCCGCTTCGTCACCATCTTCTATTCCCTAATTGCAATGTGCCCATGTAGAACAAGCCGTAACAACAAGGTTATTAAACCTTATGCCAGGCCACAACTCAGATGAGACAAAGCCAGTAGGTTTGATATTAACTTAGGAGCTCTGAACATCCGAAATCAGCGGGATATGGTGCAACAGAAATGACCGTGTAAAAACCACCGAGCAAACCTGGTATTTTGATCACAGCAGGAGGAACTGGTGGCATGCACCTTGCAGACAGTAATGATATAAAAAAAAATCGCTGCAAATAGAGAAACCACTCCTCAGTGAACAATGAGCAGAATTCAGCAAATCCTGTCGGCTTCAGGAAGACCAAAAAAACGCGACGGTCTGAATGGGCTTTTAATCCCAAGACCTTGGCCTTCAATTTTCTCCTAGAAAAGGACAACATCGAGAATGAACACATGCTGGGACCTTCTCATGGATGACTTCATTCCGCCGTACCTATCTAAGCAGATGACGATAATCCGTCAATCTGCGATCTTAAACTCTTTCTTGCCAGTAGCGTTGACGTAAGTGCGATATAGAGCACGGAAGGTGAATTTTACAAACAAACGGAGGGTCGATGGTGCTCTAGATAATAAATTCATGGATAGACAAGAGACCATTCTACTCTGGCTACATAAATTCGTCGAAAAACCCAGCTCGCTTACTCCCAGCTTGTATCATCTTCGTTGGGATCTTCGGGCAACGGCGGTCTCAATGCGATCAAAACTCTGCCTAAGACAGTACAGCTGCCTTCAGATATTTCGGGCCCGGCCTTCAAAGTCATCGATCCTTCTGTATCTACTAAGAAGTAACTACTGGCCACCACAATTCGATCGCCCTTGTCAACTACCAAAAGAATGGGGTCGTTGTGGTTTTTAATTCCCACTTGTTTCGGAAGAAGTTTCGAATCTTTAATGAATATGGCTATCGGCGCGGCCGCGTCCACGATTGGTTTCCATCCGGGAACCGAGACGAACGACTGCCACAAAGAGGAAGAATAATGGATAGGAAAAGGACCGCTACTGCCAGCGGCCGACGACGGACAATCCGAAACGGCCTGGGTCGAAAATTCGCAGACCGGGAGCACTACGGGAAGCTCCTCGGAGGAGAGTCGCATGATTGTCACAGAGGCCTTGGCGACTTTCTCAGCGACTTTCTCATGCTCCTCGCTGCGCAAAACGCCCTCGAGCATCCTCTTGGCACTCTCGGATTCGGCGCATTCCAGCGCTTGATGGATGAAGGCCTCCACTTCGTTGGCACTGCGGGCCTCCTTGCTCTGGCGCAGCAGAGAGAGGGCGAGGCAGTCGCCGGGAGACGAGGAGAACTGCTCCCAGCCGGGAATGTTCCTGCGCCGCTCGAAGTCCTTCACGGCCTTGGCCACATCGCGGGCGCCCTTGCCGTCCATGCCGCGGGCCATGAGATACTCCGCCGAGGCGCGCCGCTGCTGCACGGACAGCGTGCGCAATTCGTACAGGATTTCCGCCCCGCCATTGTCGAAAAACGCGATGGCGTCCTTGTCGAAGCCCGTGGCCACGAGCGACAAGCGCACCTGCGACCCGACCACGAGCTGGTTCTGCTCGTGGCCATTGATGCCCGTGGCCTCGTCGATTTCGCTGGGCGAGAACCCGCAGCGGCTCAGCGCCGGCAGCACGCTCGCGTAGTGGTACCATAGACCCTCCTTATCCCGCAGCACCTGCAGCATCTCCTCAACGCTCTGTGCGCCCGCGGGCGCTTCCTCCACGCGCGTCGGCGGCGGCCTGAAGGGCTGGTACAGCTCGCGCCCGCCCGACGTCGACGCGCGCACCGCGCCCCGCCTCGCCCCGCGCCGCGGCTGCACGCTCCAGGGCGCGCATTGCAGCGCCGCTCCTCCCGCGTGCACGCTCCGCGCGCTCTTCAAATTCCCCACCGTTGCGCGGACCGGCGCTTGGAGCGTCGCCGCAATTCGGCCCGGCGCCAGCGCCAGCGCGCTGCCCGCGGCCATGGCAATCGCGCTGCTGGTGCTCATGCGTGAGAAGCGTCGATCGGGTCTGCCACAAATTCCAGCCCCCGCTGCGAGCGAGAGAGAGAGAGAGAGAAAGAAAAAGAGAAGACTTGCGCTTGCAAGGAGGACGATTAATGACGATGCTCTGCTTTCCTTCTACGGATTTCCTCGACACGCGAACGCCTTATCGTCGGTGCGGTCTCGGTTCTCGGAGCCTCGTACGTGCGCTCCGGAAGGACCGCCCGGGCGTCGAGGATAAGTGACGATGGGATGCGATGGGAGGAACGGAGCACGAGTTCGCAGAGACCGACCGTCAGACACACGGTGCGCTGATGTTCTCCGGTTTCTTTGATCGGGCGGAAAGGCCTTCTCTGCCCTCCGCGTCGTCGTGATTCGTCAGAACGCGAAATGGAAATCTCTCTGCGCGACGTGGACATCGAGGTTTGGCCACCTCGGACACGGCCGGAGGTGGGGCGCGCGATTGTTGTTGACATTTGTTGGATCTCTTTTCGTTTCCTTCCTTTTGTGTGGATAGCATGACGCTAGATGGGATCCAATCTCACGCTTTGGGACCGTACGAACTTTATGCTCTGCATTAGTGCCATGTAACCTGCAGCGAATTTTTTAATTGTATTTGACGATCAAAGTGACAAGCTCTCCAAAACTTCGGATTAGTATCAATGTGGGTAATACATTGTAGTGTGATAAAATAATCAGTTCGGTTCACTTTGCACCTTAGTATAGATAGACAGTGAGACTGATATATTGCACATGTACCTTAGTCGTTTCTCTTTAAGCATCTGCATTTTACTCTACCCTTGCAGATTCATCCCATATCGATTGGTTGTGTGACCATTTATTCTCAGATCCCAAATCTCAGGTTGAGATGATTTCTATGGGATGGATTAGAAATCTTGGAATGAATAGTAATATATTCAAACAAGGTATGAGACCTGAAAAAAATATAGAGTAAAATGCAGATACTTAAATAACAAAATCGTAGTCCATATATTATCACGCGAGTTTTGGAAATCAACATAACTCTCTATTATTTGTGATAAAGCCGATATTTAGCGTGTTTGAGGTTTGGAGATTTATTCTGCGTCAAATTTGAAATTTTTGTAGAGATTCAAGGAGAATTTTCCTCTACACATTTTATGGTTGTTTTTTCTCCTTTCTTTAATGGTACATAAACCATGTGATTATCTAATTGGGCAAAGAAAAAATAAATCGGGAAATGTTTGTATGCAGTGACATCTTATCATGATCACTTACTTTCCAAGTCTTATTGGATATTACATCATTTTTCCTTTTCTGAAGGTTGATTACAGCCTAGAGCCTTATGGTTAGATTTCCCATTGAAAAGTAGTCCAATGGTGTTGAGAGGAAACCATACAAATTTTCATGTTATAGATGCGGGTAGAAGGTGACATTGTTTGCATGATTTTTTGTAAAAAAATACTCACCCCTGTATGTGTAAAATATGTTGGGGTTTAACTCGAGTTTAGGATTAATTCCTAGTTAGAAAACCCTACCTAATGGTCAAGTTATCTCTCAATTATGTATACCCCACTTCTGTGTATTCCTCCGCAAGATTATTATACTATCAATGCCTTTCTCCCGTGGACATAGCCCCTGAAGAAATGAACCACGTAATTTTCTCTGTTTGTTGATTCTGGTGTATTGGTACTAATGAACAAAATTTTTCTGTTGAGAGAGATCACTCGGCATAAACTGATTTCAGAGCTTGAGAGAGAATATAAGAAAGATCTCTAGTAACAAACAATATACATGGTTCTGGGATGTCTACAACCTTTGGTTTGGAAGTAGATGGAGGACTATGACGACGTGATTGTATTGTTTGAGACTCTTCAGAGAAAGTTTCAAGGCATGTGATGTATTTCACATTACAGTATTTCAATCATAAAATATATAGGACTCAGTTTCAATTTGCAATCTTTGTTGAACTATACTTGCTATCATGTTCTTTTGACTTTTGATGAAAGATGACAACTTCACCTCATGACTAGTAATATAGGCCAACATGAGTAAGATATAAACCTAGACCACCACATCTGTCAGCAATCTTGCGATTTCCTATGTTTTGTTATACTTCAAAGACTATTATGGTCATTTTTATGATTCAAAATTTCAAATATAAAGTTAAAAAATCTATTAATTATTTTATTATGTCAATAAAATACTAATATAATTTTGATTGGATTGATCTCTTCTAAATTTATATTTAAGCTTTGAAAGCAACGCTTCTTGTGATGCGATACATCATTTATTATATATAATAACTACTCAAGTTTTTTATTGTAGATTGATAATAAGAAAATGATGAAGTTAGTAAATGTTTGTTTAATCCAGTGATTGCCATTATAAAAATCAGATATTGAATTTAACACATATTAAAATTAAAAGCACAAACTAACATATGTGATTTATTTATGAAAAAAGGACATTCCTGAACTTTTGTCTCAGTCAAAAGGAATGCTTGATTGATATAATTGAATAATATATGGAACCAGGGTAAATGGTGTATCTTTTTTTTAGAAAAAAATCACGTGTTGATTACTATATTCAATTTTAATGTGCGTTAATTTCAATATCTGATATTTTAATGACAATCATCAATTTAGGCAAGCATTTACTAACTTCATCATTTTTTTTCAATCTACAGTAAAAACTTGAGTGGTTATAATATAGAAAAAATCATAGATTGCATCACAAGAAGCGTTTCTTTCAAAGCTTAAACATATATTTAGATCAAATCAATCTATTCAAAATCATATCAGTATTTTCATTGACATGATAAAATGATTGATAGATATTCTAACTCTATATTTGAAAGATTGAATAATAAAAATGACCATGATAGTCTTTGAAGGATAACGAAATGTTGAAAATGGCAAAATTGCTGAGAGATTTGGTGGTCTAGGATTCAATCTTACTCATGATGGCCTATACTACGGGTCGTAAGGTGAAGTTTTCATCTTTCATCAAAAGTCAAAGAACATGATAAGAAATATAGTTCAACAAAGATTGCAAATTGAAACTGAATCCTATATATAATATGATTGAAATACTATAAAAAATATGTTTGCAATGTCAAAATTATGTGCTATTAGTATTACATGTAGTGCAATACATACATCAAATTAAGTACAATGCTGATGGAATCTGACACACATAAGTAAATCTCCTAACAAAATAAATTCCATATCCTTGGATAATCATTTAAGTAGATAGAGTTGTAGAAAAAGTATTGTTGAACTTAGAGATGTGGCATATAGACTTCAAACTTTTAAAGTTCCACTTATATTCTGGCGGTGATGAGTGAAGAGTACTTTGACAAGACGTATAAAGGACATGCAATGCCGGGTCTAACAAGAGAACTTCTGATATAAAACTTTCAAAATAAGATGAAAGAATGAAAGATGATTGACTAAGAAACTTTTCTAGACAAGAATTGACTTCCTAAAGAAAATTTCTCTACCATTGGTTGAAATTAGACGCTTACAAGAATCTTGATTGCCTTTACATCGAATCCAGTCATCTTGATTGCGTTTACATCGAATCCAGTCATCGTACGATGCATCAAACTTTTTGATAGCTTACTTCAATGCAACAATCTCTTTGTAGTTCATCAAGCTCCTATTGAAGTATTTAAGCAACTTTCCAAAGCCTTCTCCTCCAACCTTGCGTACTCGATGTAGCCGGTGGCAAAGTTGATCTTTCAAGGCAGACTTTCAAAGTAAATAGATGTGACGGAGATCTTCTATCCATGAGCAGTGTAGTAATCGTGAATCAAGTGATCACCTGAGGGCAGATCCAAACCCATAATGTGATCACGGAAATTCAACAGAGCAATGTAGACTGTAAAATTGGAAGGGCTTTCAAGGAAAGGCTGCACGTTGACATCATTTCATCACATCATATGATTACATCACATGAAATTGTCAAACATGTTGTACACCTTTTTGAAGCTTTTGAGCTTCAAGTATAGAAGATTCTATGACTAAAATCCAAGATTATATCGACGTCTTTAGTGCTATTATTGTAGACCTGCACAATCTTGACAAGAAGATATCAAATGAGAAAAAATCTCTCCTCTCCATTTATTCAGCTCGCTGCCGGTATCGTATCAAACGTTATCTCGTGTCTTGATCCATCGTGATAGAAATACCATCATTTACAACAAGGCAATAAGTGCTCTTTTTACATATGATATGCAGTAGAAGATTGTTAACTTGTTAACAATCTTTCGTGATCACATTATGGATTCTTGAATATCCGCATCTTTGATGGAGTCAAACATAGACTGATCCACGAGAGATTTATACCTTACATGAGAGAAAACTTCATCTCTCTTAATATGTTAGACTCGCGCGGCCTATAATGGAGCCATGTGAAAGTCATGTTAGAGTTTAGAACACATGATAAGATAATCCTTCGAGGACAGAAGTACAATTATTTGTGTTTGCTAAAGTACAATATCATATGTGGCGAAGTTCATTTTATCAAATCTTGAGTTAGATGTCTCATGTATGGTATTCTAGGCTTGGACACATGAATGACAGTTATATGTTTCTCCTTGATGAAGGAAACTTGTTAACTAGTTTGGAGAAAGTTGAGATGGCGTTTTCTTAGCATCGTATCATGGGCAAGCACCACATGTAAGCCTTAGTGTTGGGACTCATAGTTCTAAAGTGTTACTTGAATATATAAATTGAGACATGTAAAGACTATCTCTTAATACCTCATTCATTTTTTGGTAAGTTGTACTATGTATCACTTATTGATGATTATTCAAGGTATGCGTGGAGTTACTTCTTCACACACAAGTTTAAGGTGTTTTCAACTTTCAAAAGTTGGCAAGACCAAGTTCAAACTTTGATTGTACACAAGGTGAAATATTTGCGTATTATTTCAAAGTTAGTATAAAGAAGACGTGATTATTTGTCATCTCATCACGATTTATACTTCGCAACAAACTGTTGGTTTTTAGAGTTTCAATTAAAATTTGTTGCACATGATATGAAATATATCGAGTCAATCAGATAGATCATGCAAATTGTGGTCAAAGCTTTCAACCTTGCAATTTATTTGGTAAACCTTTTTGATTCTCGTGCAATCAATTTTTTGACAACTTTTGAATTGAGTCACAAATGCACGGTTGATTATAATCATTTGAAAATTTTAGATACAATTGCTTATTTTCTAATACACAAGCAGCTCAATATTATTTTAGATCTTGCATTCAAGAATCCGGGATTTTTGAATATGCTTGTGATGTAAAGATTTACAAGTTATAGGATCTAGTAGCTTGTAATGTTATTGTAAGTAGAGATTTTTCTTTCAATGAGTACATATCATTGAAAGAGAAGTACAGTTTTTAGACTCATTGTATTGATAAGAGAAAATTTCCACTTGTTGAGTGGAATTTGATCATTATGTGATTAATTATCCAATACAAGGAGTATCTTTGGTACAAGTGAAGCAAGTTCGTGAGTAATAGGAACTATAAGAGGTAGGTTATCATTGGTGAGCCTCATGTATCTACACGATATCATAGAAATGAACCTAAATCTTTATCTAGAAGATCATCCAATGAGGTTAGAATAGCTCTTGTCAAGTATGATGTATGAGTAGATTCATCCATTTTTGAAGATCATGACATTGATACATAGTATGATGATGACACTTGGTTGATCTTGGAATAAGAATAAACTTCTTCGTGTAAAAACGCTCAAGCTTAGGTCAATTTACTTGGGTGAAATGCTACTATGTAACGTGAGATGTAGTTGTTGATTGATAACAAGACTTGGAAACTAGTTGAGCTTCCTAGGTACAGATGTAGATTGATTATAAGTGGATGAACAAGCTATATAGCAATCCAGCAAGTGATGAGGCAAGAATCTTCAAAGCCAAGTTGGTGGCTAGACATTTCACACAAAAGAAAGTTATGGACTACAATGAAGTATTTTTACTTGTAGCAAAGTATGCTATAATTTGTTTGGCCACTAGATGCAATATTTAGTCTTGTTATTGATTAGATGGATGTGGTTACAACATTTATCTATACATTTTTAGAGAAAAAAATCTAGATATGACAACAAGTTGATTTAGAGTTTAAAGATCAAGAAATATTGGTTTGTAGATGACTCAAATCATTATATGGATTGAATCAAGCTCTTAAATAGTGAAAGACATATTTTGACGGTTCATGAAAACACAAGGTTTTTCACGGATGTGTATGATACTTATGATTACAAGAATAAGTTGAATAATAAAAATTTTGATATTATTATTCTAATACTCTATGTGTATGATATGTTCATCTTGATGTTGATAAATGCAAGAGTCAATTGAAGTCTGTATTTGAAATGAAATATTTGTGAAAGTAGTAAAATATATAAAGAATGTATATTAAGAGTGATTTGAAGAACAAAAGATTATGGTTAAGTTAGTGCAAGTATATTCAACTTATATTGGAAAGGTTCAACATGACAGATTTAAAATAGTATGATTTCATTTGGTAGCACATTTGAAACATTCCGTAGCTCAATGTCCTAGTGATGCAATTGAAAAAGAAAAAATATCATATTTTTTTAAAACCAAGTTGTGAACAACCTCATGTATTTAATGATGTGCACTAGGTTTGATATTACTCTAGTGATGAACAAGGTGGAAAGTACATGTCAAATTTTAGTTAAATTTCACTATAAGCAATGAAATGGATACTTAGGTATTTGAATAGTACTAAGTATTATAGCTTATCGTTTGATGATTTATTAATCAATGTCAAATACTTGTTAGACTACATTGATCACGACAATGTATAAGATTTGGACCGTAATAAATCTACAATTGGTTAGGTAATTACATTTGATGGTGAAAGCATTAGTTAAAGATCTACCTTGTATAAGTGCGTACCTCAATCTACAACTAAAATTGAGCATGTAACATCAGCAAAAACGACAAATGAAACTATTTGGTAGATAAACTTATCATAGAAATGGGATTGAAGTGTTATCAATTTTCAACGTGGAAGCTAGAGTACTTTACATCTTGCTGCGAATAAAATGATGAATAGCATAGTGAAACATATAGACATAATCTATCATTTTTTCAAACAAGCAGTTTTGATAAAAACATTGAATTAATCAAGGTAGATTCAATCCAGTTTACGCGTTAACAAAATGTTTTTTATTTTGAAAGTTATGTTACCATGCAAGTTTGGCATAAAGAGCACGGTTAGAGTTTGTAGCATTTCAAATAACCTTTTTTATTATTACTCTATCACATTTTGATTAGTATTTAATTCTAGTTAATTCTAATTATAAAGAATTAACATTTGTTAGATTTATTTTAAAAAATGTCCTTGGATAATTATATAGCTCACAAAATTTATTGTTGACTCAACATGAATTAAGAGGTAAATTTTTAGGGTTAACTTGAGTTTCGGGTTTATCTCAAATTAATTCTCAAATATTTATATACCACTTCAATTTAAGTGCATCCCTGCTGGATTATTATACTATCGCCTTCGTTCTGCCATGGGACGGTACTCACGAAGCGCCTTGACTCTCATGTGTTCGTATTGGTTAATTTGTTTTTTCGCTGTCTACCCTTACTGCTGATCTGGAAAACTCAGCATAAAAAAATGATTATTACAAAGATGCTTTTATCTGAAGTTAGTTTGTAACGATTGTTTAACTACAAAAATAAATCATCAAGCAAATATCGCGGACATGTTCAAGATAGTATAAATTAAGATAAAAGTGCAAATTTTGGGCCGTAAAACTAATATTGCAGAAATATTCGGAAAAAGTTAAGTTTTAAATTCCACATCGAAATACTCGAACCACGTTCGGAAGATTAGCCAAGCCATCTTATGAATAGATGAACAAGCAAAATCACATTCTGCACATCGGATGTCCGCAGATAAAACTTGACCACGTCCACAGATTTAACGGTATTCACACGAAAAGCATGACATACTTTCCTGTCATGTACCAGCGAGATCAACAATAATTGAGTCCGAAAGCATACTACTCTAGTGATGTGTGCCTGACACTTAACGAGCAAGATCAGATTTGGTAGATCTCACGTCATTGCCCTGCGGGGACATGTTTTTCTGTTCCACTCAGAAGGAAGTCTGTAGAGTTCAGTTGTGCTGAAATAATTCCCGATAGATCGTCGGCGAGATCACGAGGATCATGATGTTTAGAAACTGCGAAAATGTCTTCATATACCTTCAAGTCGAAAAGGTTTAACTTCCAAACACTGTTCCCAGTTAGCTTTAAAGGACGGAAGGTGAATACAGAATTTGCATTGCAAAGCGAGTACCGGTGTCAACTGTCAACCTACAGATCCTGCGAAGACGCTGTCGAGTGAACTTGCTACCGAGGCCAAATGATTGGCAGAAAGGTCACGAGCACCCTATCACATCTTACAGTGATGAAACGAAGGTGGTAACTAGTTCACGGCCAAGTGGACAACCGTGTCTTCTCTTTACCGACACGCAATATTTTATTAAAATAATTTTCAATCTGATCAACGAACGAGAAAAGTTTTGATGAGCGTTTCACGCCTCCATTCGGCCAACCCCTCCTAAAATCTCTCTTCGAGATTGCCCCTTCCTACTAAACCACTAATACTCTACGTCTCAGTCAGTAAAGTGTACAACATCTGAACCCATTTTCCTCATAAACTGCTCAAGTTTTTCAAAAATACTTTTTGTGAACCTCTGCACACTGACAAAGTTCATATTTGATTTGCGTTTTCTGCGTTATTAGTAGTGTATTGTACTACAATTCACACGTCCGTCTCTTCCAAATTCCTACCTATCGACCGCGAAGATACTGCGTTTACCAAAAATAAAGAATAAGTTCTTTTTACCGTTTTCCAGATCGTCCCTGTCAAGAACAGAGAATGATCGTGGCTAGACTCGGAGACTCTTGACAATATCCAGGCAAGGCGGCTCTCTCGGCCTACCGGTGTTGAGCTACATTTGACCGACCAGTACTACTTCGAGTTATCGATCTAATGCAAAAACTCCGAGACCAATCGGCGAACTTTAAATTCCCAAGTTTGAGCCCATGGTGAGGGACATGTACGCAGCATGATGTAGTACATATCCCACCCATACGACGTTAATCATTCGGGTCCTGGACGTGACGTAGCGAGAAAAGGTGTCATACAAGAGACTAGTACGCAACGTTGACAATAACTAAAAGTACCAGTTCAGAAACAGCAGTGAAGGCAGCCTGGTTGGAGGCAAACATACGCTGTTTCCACGTTTTGGACAACAGCCTGGGGAATTCAGAATTGTACTCCAGCGATTTCGGATTGACCTTGAAACTTGAAGTTCAAGGTCGTCTTTCATATTCGCCAACTTCCTGCACCAGTTAGTTCCCAACATGGACATGGACTTGGAGATATGTCTCCAATTGTATGTGTACAATAACACTCCTCAAGATGCATACTTCACTAGTAGTAGCAGCAGCAAATGAATAAAGATTTAGAAAAAACTAGACAGCGCTCTTTACGGCTAAATACGTCTGATGCCAATGAAGCACAAACACTGACTATCCAGTTCAGCTGCATTTGTGATGTTCCCAAATGGAGGATACAGACAAGGATACGAGACAAGCATAGCCAACTCCGGCTAGAGGTAACTGCTTGAAGGAAATAAGCGCAAACGATATGTGAATGATGATCACAGCAAACCTGTAAAATGTTAAAAGCGTCAGAGTGCATTCGCCGAGAAAAAGCATCTGGTTATGGCTTAATTGACAGACAAGCAACAAGAGAGTTGTACTTGCCACACAACGAGACCAAAAATTGAAACTGACAAAGCCTTCAATCCCCTTCCGCATGATACCAACCTCGGAAGAACCAATTTGAGCCAGCAGTGATAGATAGATCGTGTATCTCTACATTTTCGCCGCGACGCGTGTAAACGGCTTCCTATTCCTCACTACTGTACCTCTTTGGAATAGAGCGCAGACGCTTGTTCCGCCCACCATGGTGATCAACAGCCACGATTCATAGCATTATCTTCATTCGCTTCTTCTCGTCGTCCTTTCCGCTCTCCTTCACTGTCGCACTTGTACTTGGCTGTCTCGACCTTTCTACATTCTAGTTTCTCGCTGTGCGTTCGATTATTCTTCTCAATGTTATTTTATTTTCCCTGTACTCTCATGTCACCTTGTGCCCCTACTTTGTGCCTCACGTGCGGTGTGTCGATCACCTCGGAGTGGTTTGTCCTCTTTGTCACCAGTACGACTGGAGCTTTGGTGTGAGTCCCTTTCAATCCTCTCCGGCAGAATGCTGGAAAGCCTCTCAGTCTGATAATTATCACGACCAAAAGGCCTACGTTTCAATGCCTCGTTGCCTGTCCGGCTACTATCCTTGTAGTCGTCATTTTTATTGCGGTGGTTAAAACTTGAATACTTGCCACCATCATGATCGATGTATTTGGAGTCTTCTCTTCCGGTTCTGGATTTCGAGTACCGCCTGCTGCCTGCATCGGCTTTGTTGTGATAGGATCTACGCTCGGGCTGTTCCTCAAAACCTTCCCGGCCAACAAAACCTTCAGTCTCAGACATGGTTTTGGGAAACAGTGTGAACCCTTCATTCAAATCTAGCTGACTACGGGACTGCTCACGCCGTATTCCTCCTTTCTCATTCGCGTCGGAAGATGCGTTTCTTCCAACAGATGAGAAGGTCGAACTTGGCTCCGCGTCCGTCAGACTGGCAGCTTTGGTCACTACAGATTTTTTCTCCAGGTTGATCAGAGTTTCTACAGGCTCCACTTTATCAGACTGCTTGCCAAAACTTCCAATACCGCCTGTAGAGACTATCTCCTCCATGTGCCCTTCAATTATGTCCCTCACCACCTACAGCAGGAAAAACGAGAAGAAGAAAGCCGTGACGAAACACAGTCAGTCAAGCCAAAGTAACAGAAAGCCAGAAGAGCGGAGCCTAATGCATCCATCCAGATCTGTAATTCCAAGGATATGGAAATACATGGATAGGCAAACTTAAGACATAGAAATGATGGAAGAAGACCCCTAAAACAAAGTCCAGTTTGAACTGGCGTGCCTGTGTAGGCGTCCTCTTCAGCTTTTTCCCGCGATATGACATACGACGTCGCTTATAGTCCCTTTCCTCGGCCAGCAATTCCTCCCTGGTTTTGTTCTTGTTTTTGTCCTGAGACAAACAAAAGTTTCCTCGAGTGAGAATCCGGGTTCCTGGTATAAATCTGTTGTCCCTCGTGTACCCTAACAACGTTCTAAGCGTGTGGAACATCCCTAATCAAGACCTTTTCAATCAGACATGCAACACCGTTACGTCGAATGGCAAAGTCTATCATCTTCCTTTCCACATTGCAAGGGGGAAGTATGAAGGGTCTCAAACTCACACTCAGCTTACCACGCGGACTACCTAGTATTGCTAATAGGAAGAAAGTTGTATTGCATGAAGCAAAGGAGGAAGAAGTATATATAACCTCTAGCTGAGAACGATGCCAAATCAGCCCGTCGTACTCCAGAACTGCTCTGTAATTTGGCCGCTTCATTCGCTCTTCTTTTGCCAATTGAACTGCCGCTTGATATAACTGCGTCCTGTAGAATCACTGTATATAAGAAACCTAAGCAGCTCGGACATCCTTAGGTGTGTGTACATCCAAAGCTTTCTCTTAGTTCGGACAGTGACAAATCTCTGTACTTAAGGGGTGTCTTCATATACCATCACGGTCTAAAACCATATAATGAAACCGCACTTCGGAGAAATCTTGGATCAAAAGCATTTTAATTTGGTACCAATACTGACGCCGTCTGTAGGGCATCTACTGCTCATCATGAGCACTTCAGAGACTAGCTTTGTCAGTCAAATCCAACCCATCATACCACCTTTCAGTCAGATGCATGACCCGCATCAATACTTACATTTCAAACTTTGAGACTCTGCTGGAATGCAGTGGGGTCCTCAAGTAGCGCTCAAAAACAGCCCGCTCCGTTACAGCAGAAATGGCTGCCTCCAATTCTAGAATCTGAGGATTTGATGCTTCAACCGCCACCGCTTCATGGCTTCGCGGGTCATCCAAAATCACAGCAGGTCCAGAAGGGTGCGAATGCGTGCTCTCAGTTTCCTTACTCTCAGATGCTGCTTTGCTTTCACATCTACCTTCTACTTTGTTTCTCAATGAGAAGGAGACCCTACGATCAATGAAGTTCATGCCTCGAGACAAGAGAAAGCGCGCTGACGAGATAATTGAGTGCTTCAAAAGATTTAAGGATAAAATCCTGCTCTGTGCGGGTCCGTAGAGAGGGCATAGTTGAGCCGCCAGCCAATCCATGGGTCGAAAAACCTGGGCACAATCTAAGAGTCCCACCTTTGGGCAGAAACTTTTCAGCTCACTACAACTGACAGACTTGGATAAATCAGTCTGTACGTTAGCAGCGAATTTCTCTTGTGACATCTGGGATACGCCTGTTTCTGCTGGATGCAGTTGTTCGGTGTCCTTCAATCCGACTAAAGTCCTGATAATTACTTGCTTGTACTCTGTCGAATCCATAAGTACGGTAGCCTGCTTATTCGCTTCCTTGAAACAAAGTTTGGCTAACGAATAGATATGACACGCTAGGGTAGAGTCGAGAACTATACCGTGTGCTGGAGAATGTACCAGGAGCCAGTTGACAATCACTGACTTGCGAAGATTATCAAGTCCAGAAGCTGCCTCGGCGACCAGGGAAGAAGACCTAGAAGGCAGAAACTTCCACGATTCCACCTCTTCTGATAGCAGTAAAAATCTTGAAGGAAGGAGTATCTGAGCACAAGCCGGAAAGGACATTTCTCCGAAACGATTCGGCTCCAGTGCATCCGATTCCACCTTGAATAGTCCTATAACATCCCTGCCAGGCACGGGGGGGATGCTACTTTGAGGGGAATGCACAGTGTGCAATGGTGCCTGCACCACAGCAGGGGCCCCATCGTAGAAAAATTGCCCACCCCAGATGTCAAATTCAGGCTTTGAAAAAGATAATGAAGCAGAAGATTGTTCCACTGATGTCTTCTTGCTGTTCTCCGTTCCCGGAGTTGAACTATCAGTGGTGTTGAGATTTCCTTTCGGGGAAGTTCTGTACTGCAGAGAAGCCAAGAGAGACTGCACATCCAACGGAGGATTCGGATTGGAAGGGCAGCTCAAGTAGTGATGAAATAGACCATCCGGAGCAATCATGTGTGCAGGATCAAACGGACATGCCACAAGGAGAGTTTCTTCGGAGATAGACTCGGTCGCGAGCAAATTTCCAAATTGCTCCGCAACCTGTTCGACCTCTGAAACAAGAAATCGTATCCGTGAAATTAATACTTTCAAATCGACATTCTCCACCTTCCTAGAGTCAGAAATGGCCTTCTCCACCACATTCACTCCCTCCTCACTATCAGGTCTACTAGATCCAGAGTCTGTGTATTCCCTTTCGGCAGTTCCAGAATTCTGTACAGCAGCTGAAGTACCTCCCACTAATGAAACAGTTCCAGGAGCAGAATTCCAAGCTTGAGAATATCCGTTGGTCTGAGATCCGACATTGATGATCCAATTGCTCTGAGCTGAACGGGGAGTATCGTGCGTGGACTGAACAAGATTTGAAGTCCTCGAGTGGCTCAATCCAGTGCCCGGTAGAAGAGATGTACTATGACCTAAACTTGTCACGAGGGATCCACTGTGAGAGGTTGGATTGTCGATCGAAGTCCTCTGCAGGCCAAATCCACTGCTCGGCGGACCACCAGTATTCTGGGTTACAGGTGTTGTTACTGGATACATTTTCGCAGGTGGACCGGGTGTACCACCTTGAAGGGACGCTTGAGGGCCATAGCTCGGTGGGGGACCATGAAAGCCATATCCGACCCACGGAGGACGAGGAGGAGGAGGTGCTGGAAACCGCGGACCGAGAGTCTGGTAGTGCTGTTGCGGTTGTTGGTGATGATGAACATGTCCAGGGGCAGAAAATCCCTGAGGTGCAGAAGGGTTAGGGGCGAAACCACGGTAGGGAGGGGGAGGAGGAGGAGGGGGCGTACCCTGACGATATGGTTGTGGAGGAAACGGCGGCACGGGATTCATGAACGGTCCTACTCCAGCCCCGCTAGGAGGATGAGAATCCGCCATAGGCTGACAAATTCCCCACAAAGATCTCGAGCGTCCCGTGCCAGAGGGCAAAACCCACCCTTAACTTATCCAGTGGTGATTTACAAGCCCTCGTTGAACCCCTCTTCCATCACTTTTTACAGCTTCCGAGAAACAGATTTGGGTGCCGCGCGAGATTCAGCTCAGTTCGACGGAGCAACGGAGCTCGCTCGAGCCGCAAAGTCGAGCGTCACATTAATTCCCTCGATGCCTGGTTCCCTCGATCCCTTGATTTCTACCTTGTCTTCCACGAAACCCCATCAACCACCATCGCATCATGCGGCTGGAAACCGCATGATGGCACAGCATCAAAGTACCGTCGGCCCAATTCAATTTGCAGTTTAGGTTTTCGCGCACAGAGCGAGAGCGACAGACACAGAGAGAGAGGGAGAGAGAGAGAGAGAGAGAGATCGAGCGCCAAAATGTCGTTCGTGTACAACATCCGAGTTCGGGATGCTCAGATGCTCGCAGGACAGATACACGTCAAACTTCACAGTTCTGCGCACATGACACGGCATGACATGTCATGTCGTGTCACCCCCCTCGCTGACAGGCCTCGGTGAACGATCTCCCCAACAGTTCAATTATCTCCAGCCGGCTCTCAATTCTCACCGGCACTTCCGTGCCTGCCGATGTCCCGTACGAGACAGACGATTCAAACTTCCGTCTCGCGCTGTCCAATGATCTGTTCGCAGTTGCCCGTCCGGAATCTTCGCTCGGTCGCATCCCGGTCGCGCCGGTGTCGTTTCCCGGTGGAGGAGCATAGTACGCAGCGAGGTTATTTGCGGATGGCAGATCGCGCGTCAGAGCCCAAGATTGGACGAGCACGGCACGGTCAGCGTCGGGCGACTGTAGTAGACTGCACAGTCTACCCGTATTTAGGTGACGCTCTCGTACGATCGACGGTCGTACAGCGCCATCATCAGCGCGGTTCGCAGCTCACCGGGACGAGGCCCGATAGTCTAGCTAGCTCACCGGTCACCGAACGGCCGACGGTTCAAACGTCGAACTCGACCTGCACAGCTCGGACCCAGTCACCGGCGCCCCTCCCACTGGCTCTCTCTCTGTGCTCGCACAGTTCCGAAAGAACAGAAGACGTCCAGACCTGTGACCGTGGCCAACGTTTCACTCTCTCGGGCCCGTCGGTCTCCCATCCATACGCGCATCCACGCGCGTTCTGCCATCTTATCCGATATCGCTCGCTTCCCAGCCTTGAACTCGGATGGGACCTCGGTTCGTCCCAGCCCGCCCTGACCTGACCTGACGGACCTACTACGTTGGGTGCGGTGGGCCCCGCCAGGGTTTAGTTCCTCGGCAGGATTTTGGGAAACTGGAGCCGAAGACATCGCGGCTTGGGAGAGGACGCCGGACCGGTAATCTAAACCCGGCAGGCCTCGTCAATGGAGACGATGCTCGGGCATTCAATTGCTCGGGCGGGCCTGGACCCTCCGTCACGACTTTTGCACGCCTTTTCTTTCGTCGCAGGTTTGCCACCCGCACGCCGCAGGGGGAGTGAATCTGCGCACTGGACTGCGGTCAGCGGCGGAGAGTTCGCCGTGGGTTTGCCGAAGACGAAGCCGAGTGTGCGAAGGGTGTGTCAGTCATGTTCTGACGGTTCTCGCTAGGGAATTTCTAGTCGCTGTGGATTTGGGGGTCCTCTTGCACAGCCTTGATTGAGCTGCAGCCTCCAGCAGGCCGAGACTTGTAGCATCCCTAGGATTCCCCGGATCTCATTTTTATTTTTGTAGAGTCCTCGAGTGACAGTAGCCGATCCTGCTCCGAGCAGTTCATGCGCCAAACTCCGATCTCTCTCTCTCTCCCTCCCTCTCTCTTATGCAGGTATTTAAATTTGGCGTCGTCGTGAAATTTCTCCAGCAATCATGCGAAAAAGAACTTCATATTTCATCTGTTTCGAACCACTGGCCCCCGAGAGCATTCTCGTCCCCCACAAGCTTTCTCCTGACGCCTTCCATGCGCAACCCATCGCAAGTCCATTCATCGACCCATCCATCCATTCGCCCAAGTCCAGTCGCTAGACAGACCTCGAGGGCCAGTGCATGGCCGGAGCACCTGAACATAACAGTATTAATAATAGATTTCCTCCATCGCAGCTCTGATGGGGCGAGCCTTTGGCCCGGCGAAGAAACATGGCGAGCCATAGGCCACCGGCTAACGGGTCGGATCGCGGTTGACGAGAATTGCACATGAAAAGAAAATGATTGATTGACATTCAAACTTTTGTTCTTGTACAGACGAAGTTTAGATTATTACTTTCCAACTACCGTACGGTGTACACAATGAACGAGACAGTGCGCACACATCGCAATCTCGGTCATTATTATGAATTAGACGACTGTGGATTTGGGCCAGCTGGTCACCGGGCTCTCACATTCCGGCCAAACTGCGTTCATAAACGTCAGTATGTGTGCGACCTCGACGGTCTGGAGCAGGTACGTACATACATACCTCACGAATTGACCGAATGCCGGGCCTCGCAGGCAAGCTTCGAGCAAGCTGTCGGAGATGAGCATGTGTGGGATTCGCCGAATATACTGGACCACGAACTTGGCGTGTGTCATCGGAGGCCAAGCGGGCAAAAGGTTGCTCGCAGGTGGAGAATGAGATGTCTGGAGGTTGCTTTCGGGACTTGGTTTCACAGCTGCTGCATGTCCTTTTCGATTCTCCCTACGTTTCAACCAAGGATGTCATGCGCTCGTAGATCATTTACTCGCACTTAGGTAGAATTCCTGTTCTTATCCTCGTGGAGTGTCTCCGCGGAATCATTCCATTCCAAATCAACAGCAGCAGATCACACAGTTGGATCACGGCGACATTGCATGTGCAATTCGCGGAAAGAGACAGGAGTGGCATGCATAGAGGAGCGAGCTAGCGAGCGAGCGAGCGTGGATCTCGTCATCCGTCTTCGCGCGAAAAAGTATAATCTAATGTGCATTCGTCCTTCATTCCATAGCCGTAGGATCACAGCGACAGCGACTTACTTGGGGACTAGAAGCAGTCGTGGGGTGAAGTTTGAACAAAGAAACGAAAACATAAACGCCGCTTTAATTTCTTCTTTTTATAGTGTTCTGGATGACAACCGAGTGCTGATTTTGTCTTCGTGACACCTGGTCTGTGTGGGTCCGTGTTCGGGCTCGGCATTAATGTCTTGTGGTGAAAACGTACAACTACTCCAGCACAATTGACTCTAACAAGAATTCCCTACATCGAAACGATAGAACCATTTCTCTCTTTCTTGGATTATGACAAAGATTGTGTCCAAGATATGAGCGGGTCCTCGCAGGTTACAAGACAACGTAAGCCACAAACATGTTAGTATCTGCAGGCTACTGTTTCGAAGCCAGCGATGTTTAACGCATCTGCCAAGCTTTCCACAACATGAGCATGAGCGTGAACATTGAACATCCACTTTCCACACTGGATGCAGACGATTTTCTCATCGAACGTAATAGAATCCTCGAGACCTCGGATTCGACAACTCGGGCTATCAACTCCCACACTATGATGAGGTCACGACAGGAGATCTACCGAGCGATGTCTCGAATAGCAGAGCTCCGCCGAGAAGAGACGAGACGAGAAGATGAAATGTAATGACATGACTCGTGTGAATTGCAGGTGCGATGTGGTTTGTCTTTCCCCGGGGTTTTGTCCAATGAATCCCATCGTCCACTACCGCAACGGATTGTCTCTCCACGAGGACACACCATAAATCCGCCCGCTTGTTGTATTGGATGTACTCCGCACCCTTTTCCTGGAAAGGACTCGGAAGACTTCGGTCGCCTTCGCCTCTTTCGTCTAAATTTACTAATTCAAAAGAGGCCGATTTGAACGACCTTGGAAAAGAAGACCGGCGAGCCAAAGAAAGCAGATGGCATCTGGATCCTCCTCGCCTCGTGAGGAGTTTCCATTAAAGCCCGCTTTGGACCGAGAACAGACCTTGGAAACATGCTGATTCCGGAGAGAGCACTGGCCCCCCTTCATAAAAGCCAGCCAGCCATGGATTCCTAATCACAGCTTAACACTGTACTGTAAAATAATCGCTCATTAACTCTAGGCTATAATAACAGCACCTCTATCGAAGCGTGAGTCATTACGCCATCCAGCTTAGAGCCTAAGACGCCGAAACAACTGGAACTGAACAAGAGCAAGGCAACAAGTTGCAACGGAACTACAGACACATGTCGCGGTAGATAGGCTTCTTCTTCTTCTTTTTAGTACAGTACCATAACTGTGAACTTTAATAAAGTCACGAGAACCCAGTAATCTATGTTCTTAGATCGAACAAGGCTCGAACTCCTGCAATACCAGTAAGACCTGCGGCTGCTCGTGCTTCCTGAGGTGATGTATCCACACCATTGACTACCTGAACCATGCGAGTTACGATACGTGTATCACCTCTGTAATGTATATACAGTATTCGAGTCTGATGTTTTCATGGAAGTCACTGACATTAACAATCTCATCTCCTAGTGTTGTGTCGTTAACGAGCTCTAGGAAAATGATTGCATTCCATCGACCAAAATTATATTATTGAAATTCAAAGTCACAGTTAAAATCTTAGAAACTACCTTGCAATATACATCAGAAAAATCGGTAAGAATCCATTGATCAATAGAAAGATGACTTAAAACTTGAAACGCACTCCAATAGCATCGCAATAATTGCGAAAAAATAATACCATCAACAGATCTAGAAACTTATACACAAATAGTTTTAAGTTTTTTCCTATTCACCAAATAGGGTGAAAATGAATAAACCTAAGCTAAGCTAATCACTTTATGGTGGAAAACACGAGAGAAGCCTTCGCCATCATCGGCTGTCACGTTGTTCTAAACTCTTTGCAGGATCATGCATTGGATATGAATGACAGTCGATGTCTACAAAGGCAGGGACATGATATACGCCAGCGGGCTGTAACCAAAAATTGGAGCCGACGATCTATAATTGTCATCATCTATAACATCAAGATGAATCTCTAGAAGTAACTCAATCTTTTGGCCCGTGTTAAGGACTTGACACAGATTTGTCAAGTCTATGACTGTAGAGCGACTCTTGCCACCTTTTCTCCACTGGGCGGCAAGGGAGATTGCCATTAGGACGCAGTTCCATCTTGGGGTGCTGAGTAGACTTAGAAAGACAAAAGACACTCTTCGAACCTTTTCCGTGTAGCAAAAGTTGTGGAACCCTTATGTACTCTCGAAGCAGTGCTGTTTTGCTCTACATCGATCTACGAATTACGAGTGGGTTCAATAGCAAGTTTTGTTTCTCACTTTGAAATGAATTTTTTTTTTTAAATAAATTTCAAAGTGAAATAATTTTCAGAAAAGGTAAAATTCTTATCAAAGATAACATCTTTTGTTTCTAATTTTAAAATTTGAATATTAGTTGCAAACTTGACGTTTGAATAATTAAATAGCCAGGAACTATGCTTGTGGATTAGAATCAAATTCAACAATCATGCATCTGCTTAAATGTGGCGATTGTTTGATATCGACAAACACAAAAAGTTTTTCATTTTCATTGTAAACATACGATATAAAAATCCGTGTTCGGGGTTAGAACGATACATTA